GTGTGTGTATGAGAGTATTGTGTGTCTGAATAATGAAACGGGGTTTAAATATTAACTCTTAGGGCTATATGCTACGGCATCTAGTTCAAGAGCGAAAAGAATGTCCAATAAACGCAGCCCTTTTGGAAAATCCTGCGAAAAGGATACAATATTCTAACCGTTTGCTATTGTTCACCAGATCACAGATGCCTACATGGACTGCACGAGCCTGTCTGCAACTGGCTTTTATACGTGAGTTATTGTTTTTACTCGTTTGGGCCTAGTCTTAGTGAGTTTGGCGAGGTGAGACCAATTCTCAAATAATATCAAGTTGCAGGATGATAAAATAAAAAGTAGAAAAGTTAGCTACGTACGATACGAGATTCTCTGGCAATAATTACAATTATTTTATTGTTCATTGAATTAGTGTCCACTATTCAACCGTGAAGGCCTATTTGTGTTCTTTTGATTTATTTTTAATTGTTAGGTTACAAATCTGGATTCCTTAAGTTTATTCTCGTTGCAATACAGCATCTTTGTTGGCATGTCATCACAATTCTTGAAATTTTATTGAGTAAATTAGCTTGGCCATAAAAATTACGTCCTTTTTATTACATTTCCTTTGCAAAAGAGAGCGACTGCAATTTGCCACTAACATCCCCAAAATGTTAAGTCTGGAATATAATAATATTATGTTTTTGAACGGCATGTACTTTGTACAATGTAGTTGCCTTGTCTACGGGTTGTTTGAAAAGGCAGGTGCTAGGACGCCAGATTTTCACAGCTTTTACTTCAATGTTACGTATCCTGAAAAACAAAAACAAACGATATTCTCAAAGTAAATTATAACTGTTGTTTGGCGTCCTAGCATTTTACCATCCCGTGCAATGTGTATATTTTATACATATTATGTGGGTGGTTGGCAGGTGCTCTGGTGTGGTTTGCTTCTTCTTTCCTATCAAACATCTATCGTCCTTATCTCCCCTCCTTCTTTTTTATGTTTGTTACTCTCTTGTAACACCTCCAATCTTCTGGCGCTCATATGACCTTATGCAGTTTCGAACGCCGTAAAACCTCTACTAAAACCAACCAACCAACCAATACATATTATACATTCCTATAGTTTTACATTTCCTTTTCACCAGAACCCCAGGCATTGGATACGACATAGACACCAACGAAGGCAAGCCTTTCCACTACAACACATTCGGCACGGCGTGCACGGAAGTGCAAATTGATTGTTTGACCGGCGATCACAAGGTTGGTTAGACCTTAATAAACAAAGATTTATAGACAACTTGTGGTGTTTCCATTCAAACGCAATATAAAAACATATAACGTACGTAAATCGAAACATTAGTTTACAACACAACCCCCCCTCCCCCCAACCTACCGGCACACACTTGCACACATTATTAGAATATGTTTCCTTAACCCTGTCTGTTTTTCTGTATGTCTGTCTTTATTTGTCGTTATTTCTTTTATGTATGTTTATGTGTCTGTCCGCCTGTCCGTCTGACTGGCTGTCTGTCTGTCTCTATCTCTCTTTATTTGTATACTGTCGCTCACTGTCTCTGTCTTGGTGTCTCTCTCTCTCTCTCTCTCTTTCTCTCTCTCTCTCTCTCTCTCTCTCTCTCTCTCTCTGCCTACTCCCCCTCTCTCTCCCCTCTCTTTTTATCTCTCTCTCTCTCCCTCTCTCCCCCTCTCTTCCTCCTACTGGTCTTTTACACCCCCCATCTCCTTTTCGTACCCTGTAGTAGTTCTAGCCAATTAAATACATACACAGAAAACACGCAGAAATCTATTCCCGCTCCCACTCAACAACAGACTCATCTCAATCCTTCCACTTTTTTCTTCAGGTCCTCCGCACAGACATCGTGATGGACATTGGCCGCAGCATCAACCCTGCCATAGACGTGGGTCAGATAGAAGGAGCTTTTGTACAGGTGGGCCCCTTTTTCACTACCTGGGCTCCAATGATGATGATGATGATGATGATGATGATGATGATGATGATGATGATGATGATGAGGATGATGATGATGATGATGATGATAATGATGATGATGATGAT